AGTTAGCAACAGAATTGACTCTTCCAATAGATAATATTCAGTCGGATTTATCTAAATTGTATCATTTATTAAAGACTAAAGCAAGAATTACGCAGCAGCTAATAATCTTCGAAGTAAAAATACCCTTAGTAAGCAGAGACAGCTATGACATCTACAAGATCATAACAATACCACAGCAAGTTGAAAGTAAAATGATCAGTATCATTCCCATAGCAGATATTCTCGCAATTAATTTACAGAAGGATGCATATATTCCAATGACGGAAAACGAAGTCCAGACCTGTATGTTTTATGACACAGAAACGTACATCTGCCCTTTAAAGGGTCCAGTTCATCAAATGAGGTCAGATGAAAACCTCTGCATTAGAGAAAATAAATCTAATCGTTGCAGGACTGCATCTACTATCTGCACAAATCATTGGACAGAACTTAATAAAATAAATACATATCTCTATTTTTGTTGCGGACTGTGCTCCATAAGAATCATGTGCGAATATCAAGTTACGGCCGAACAATTAACTAAGGCCGGCGTTATCATGCTCGGAAATGGATGCGTCATCAAAGGCGATACTTACACAGTTTATTCACATAAACTACTATCCAATACTTTGAAGACTACGGCAGACGTTCTGAGAATAGATATCCCACCCATCAACAATATAATCAATTTATCAATACCTATTGGTGCAATTAATGAACAGTCTGAGCATACCCACATCGAGACCCAAGGTCTAGTAAAGAAAGTCCACGATCAGTTGAGTCAGATGAAAGATTCAACGAGCATTGATGAAGATTATAACGACGGGTTCTCATATCACGACTTGCATCATTACACGGTGATATACTTATTGGCGTTCGCCCTGTGTGCGGCAGGAGCCGTGCACGTGTGGCGGCGTCTTCGGCGTGTGCGCAGCGTGGCTCTGCCCGCGCGCTCGCCTCGTCAGCAGCTTCAGAGTGCTAGTGTAATTAGTGTAAATGAGCTATCGGGACCCGGTGATATTGAGCTCAGTGCAATTTCAAGTGCGTGTAAACAAAACAGGGCTACATCGCCTATGTTACGTGAATCTGTTTTAAGTTAAAATAAATAACACTTTTATAGACTTTAAGTTTGTGTGTCAACCAATATTGTGCTCTCTATTATTATCATTGTCTTTTTAAATTCTTACATTTACGTATGTTATTTTTTGATTTTTTATCTTAGTCTCTCGTGCCTGGGAGCATGTACGGTCCACCCGTACAATTATTGGAATATTGTAGAATAAGTACTTTTGTACCGCGAGCGCACTTTACTTCAGTTCGCGTTCGATTCTCGCCGCGGTTACTCATTTGTATCATGTAACTATCATTAAAGTTATATTATCACTATATCATCGTATCATTTGTAGTTGTCCCGTACATATGTACTCTCTAAGAATATTTACACACCACTGACAAACGGTGAAGGAAAACATCGTGAGGAAACCTGGGTTTTTAATATCTAATTATAAGTTTGAAATCGCCAACTCGCATTAAGCAAGCGTGATGATTAATGCTCAAAACTTCTCTGTGTAAGAAGAGACCTTTAGTGAGTGGTGGGCACATACACCGTTAAATTTTAGTCGTTTTAATCCCATGGACACAGGTCCACCACAAACCACAGGGTTTAACTAACAGAATACTACTCATTACCAGCGCCGTAAATAGGGCGGTGCCAGCGGTGCCCAGGCACAGGGCGCAGACCCTGGAGGGGCGCAGAAATGACCAGACTGTACTATCTAAATATGTATCGCATTTTTAAACGATCTTGAATCAACAACACATGTCAAACGACATCAGACAAATGTATATCCACCTTAAGTCTTGCTCGCAATATTACATACACAAACAAAAGTACCTATACTATAACTTTGGGCGTCTGTGCCCGCGGCATCTGCGCCCGCGGGGCGAAAAAAAAAAGAAGAGGCACTCCATCCCGGCAAGCTGGAGTTGTAGCAGCGGCGGTAGAACCCGCCCCGCGAGCGGAGGACGGCGGTGGGTGGCAAATCGTTGGTGAGGCGAGGAGAGTCGCCAAGGAGGGCCGTAAGCGCCGCAAGAAGGCGCAGCGGCAGCGACGGCAGCAGCAGCGCAGGGAGAAACGGGCTGCTGCCTTGCTCCTCGCCCCTAGGACCGCGGCTGTAGTAATTACGTCATGGAGGAGGTGGAGACGTACTCCGACCACCGGTATATCCGGTTCGACGTCTCCGCCGAGTCCGCGGACCCGCCGGTCAGACTGGCCCCATGTGGCCCGCGTTGGGCGCTGAAACAGTTGGACCGGGAGTTGCTCCTGGAAGCCGCTATCGTGCAGGCCTGGGTGATACCAACGGTCAGGCCTGCCGACATTGACGATGAGGCCAAATGGTTCCAGGACGCCATGCCCAGGATTTGTGACGTGGCGATGCCCCGGATCCGATCGAGGCAACAAAAGCGCCAGGTGTACAGTGGTCGCAAGAGCTGGCAGGTCTACGCAAGGCGTGCACTGCTGCGTGACGCCAGTACACTAGGCACCGCAGGCGCCGCATCCGTCCTCCGAATGCGGAGGTGAGAGAGGCGGAGTTGTACGAGGGATACAGGGCGGTGAAGGCCGTCATCAAGGCGGAAATACTGCGGGCCAAGGAGGAGGCCCGCCGTGATATGCCGGGGACTCTGAACAGAGACCCGTGGGGACGCCAGTACCGGATGGTATGCGACAAGCTCCGCGCTTGGGCTTCCTCGCTCACTCAGAGTCTCCGGTCAGAAGTCTTAGAGGAGGTGATTGGCGCCCTGTTCCCCCGACTGTGGAGGGGCTTCACCCCTCCGTATATGATTTCGCCCCCTGCGGTGCCCAACGCGGGCTACAGCGACGACGACAACGACATCGTCTCAGAGGTGACCGAGACAGAACTGAGAGCGGCGGTGCGCCGGATGGGCGCCAAGAACATCGCCCCAGGACCCGACGGCTTGCATGGCAAAGCATGGGTCCTGGTCTCAGAGGCTCTCGGGCCCCGATTAATCGGTCTTTACAGCGCATGCTTGGAGAGAGGCCAGTTCCCGCTGCTCTGGAAAACGGGTAAACTGGTCCTCGTGTGGAAGACGGGGCGCTCTGCGGTCTCTCCGTCCGCGTACCGGCCCATAGTGCTGCTCGACGAGGTGGGGAAAGTCTTCGAAAGAATAATTTCGAACCGCCTCGTCGCGCACTTGACGGACATTGGGCCGAACCTGTCGGACGGCTAGTTCGGCTTCCGCAGAGGGCGCTCCACGGTGGACGCCATCATGTGCGTTAGGGACCGGACGACGGGTACTGCAGTGTCCAGGGGTAAGGTCGTTGTGGCGGTGTCTCTGGACATCGCCAACGCCTTCAACTCCCTGCCCTGGAGCTGCATCTTGGAGGCACTCCGATATCATCGGGTGCCTACCTACCTCCGTCATGTAATCGAGGCTTACCTGACGGACAGGCCCGTCATTTACCCCGGTCACCGGGGCGAGTGGAACCGGCGAGAGATGTTACAGAGGTGTTCCACAGGGTTCGGTTCTGAGGTGTTTTACAGTCGGTGGAACTTAGTGGAGCACTTCTGACGTTTGGCTCCAAAGTTGGAGAGGACGGGGGCTGCGTTTAAGCGCATCCTCCCCAACCTCGGGGGGCCAAAAGCCTCTTGCCGGAGGTTACATGCCGGGGTCGTGCGGTCCATGGCCCTCTACGGCGCCCCTGTGTGGGCGCCGAACCTGATGCGGCGGCCCGCTCGGGCGCTGCTCATGTCACAGAGGGTCATGACGATCCGAATGATCCACGGATACCGCACGATCTCCGGGAAGGCGGCGAACCTCCTTGCCGGATTACCGCCGTGGGATCTGGAGGCGAAGGTGCTCGCGCGCGTGTATCGCATGCGCGCGGGGGCACGTCGCCGGGGCGAAACTCCGCTGCCGCGCCAGATAAGTGCGTGGCGGGAAGAGCTCAGGCGCGATCTCATGGCGGAATGGCAGCAACGAATTGTCATAAAACATCTACTAAGTACCGACCTATAACTTGGTACACAATAAACAGTTGTATTTTCATGCACATTTGTCCATTTTATTGTCAGAGCCTGGTAAGAACATTTTTCAAGGGCGCAGTTTTGACAGCTCGCACCGGGCGCCTATAAGGCTAGTTACGGCACTGCTCATTACAAGCTTGTACTGCGGTGTAACATAAAAAATAAATAAATTAGCAAATGATAAGATTATACTCGCAAAATGTATGAAACCAAAAGTTGCGCCACCAGATAGTTACCTACGTCGTCGTCGGTCGTTGCGTATCGGGCCGTGTAGGTACCTACACTGCATAAGGTTATTGACTCGATCAACTGATGTTTGCGTAGGTAAACAAATAAATTGATTCCAAATTTTCCTTCATACTTTTACGGGCTTAGGACCGACATAACTGTACTAACGGTTCGCATTATTTATTTACTCATGCGAGAATTGATTCGAGTTATTAAAAAAAAATACTTTATTTTTTCATAGACCAGTTCGAACCTCCAAGGGATTAAAACGATTCAAATTTAACGGTGTATAGTCAGCTTAATAGTCAGCTTTTAACCCCTCGAGCGTCCTTATGAACACCCGGTGGATCATAAGAAAAAATGCTCCATGCTGTTTTCTCTTTTATAAAATCTATTATTAATGTTTTGTTTTTATTTTGACTGTATTTGTTTTATTTCTATTGTATCCTTGTTTTCGTGTGCCAATGGCCAAATAAATGCATTTTCTTGCATGCATAAGGATAAGGAAATACATAAGGAACGCGGACGCTCGACGGGTTAAGAAACCTTTAGGAAGAATGAGGGTGTTGATAAATAGCATCATTCGGCAAACAAGTTTGTTGCAAGTCAAAATTTAGCTGAACTTGGTTTGAATCTGAATCGTTTCTTAAAAAACCGTTGCTTGTCAGTTACAGTTACGACTACACATCCTTTTTGCAACCAAAACTTTAAATTAAACATTAATATTAATTTTATTCCTTTTCACAGTGACGTCATAGAATGCCTGCCCTCAAACGAAGACAAATCAGCGGTGGTGAACTCTATAACCACTTCGCTTGGTCTCCTGAAGTACCGCCACGAGCCCGTGCTGTCGGCCATCACAGACTGGCTGCACCAGCATGTAGCGCAGTGCCGCGCCACTGACATCGCGTCCGCAGTCGTCACGCTAGCTACCGTGGACTATCTCCCACCTTCAGATTCAGCCCAGGGTTTGATTCAGGTTAGTATTTTTTTTTATGGAATCGGAAGCAAACAAGCCGACGGATCACCTGATGGTAAGCGATCTGCGCCGCCCATGGACACCCGCAACACCAGACGAGTCACAGGTGCGTTGCCGGCCTTTTAAAAAATAATACGCTCTTTTCTTGAAGGTTTGAAGGTCGTATCGGTTCGGAAATAGTTAACTTATTTCAAGAATAATGGAAACTACAAATTATTTTTTACCTATTGATATTTGACTTATTTCTATACTACACTGTACACAATACATGTTAGTGTCAAAGTGATCTATTTACTTAGAAAACTGTACAATAAACAAGGTGATTACTTACGTAACTGTTTGAGCTTACTCGACTAGTTTCAAACCATGACCAGAGCCCATAACTAAAAATGGCATTCGCATCAACCGATTTTGTGGCACATGTCACGCTACGTCCGCATTGTAATATGGTATTTTATCGACATTTTTAAAAATTAACGGACAATTAATTATATATCATTCTCTAACATGAAAGTAATATTTTAATATCTTTTCTCCAGACCGCCCTGTCCCTGAAAGAAGAAGAGATGACCAAGTCCTCATCCTGGTTGGACCTGGTGTTCTCTCTGCTGATCCTGAACAAAGCCAAGAAGACACAGCTAGAGTCCACACTGCAGCCTGACTTCATTGACAAGTTGCTGTCCGCTGGTGGTAAGCAACTTTATTAATGTAATAATTACAGGAACAAATTGGTTACAGTTGGGTAAAGTGTTATTATATCCTGTTTTAATTTTATTACTCTATCATGGTCTAAGTTATGCCAGGTAACAACATAATATGGTAAGGTTTTATCGGAGAACCATGCTTCGGCACGAACGGACCAGCTCGACCGGAGTGATGAGAGAGAGGAGAGATGAGAGTAACAAAAAACCCCCTCCCCCCAGTTTCTCCGATCACGGAATCCCCACAATCCTAGAATTCTCAATTCCCAAAAGGCCGATAACGCATTTGTAACGCCTCTGGTGTTCCAGGTGTCCATAGCCAATGCCGATTGCTTACCATCAGGTGATATGTCTGCTCGTTAACCGGCTTATCTCATAAAAAATATTAATTTTGACGTGACAACGTCTTGTAAATTGGTTTGCCGGGTGACACTTTAAGAAACTGAGTTACGCTCCGCTCACAATGAGAGCGAGTGAGAGGCACGCGTCCCTTCCACTCGGGCATGGTTAGCCCGCCTAAAAGCGAGAGAGACAGACATAAAAAGTGAAAGGCACGCGTCCCTTCCACTCGAGCACAGTTAGCCCGCCTAAGAGCGAGAGAGAGAGTGAGTGAGAGAGATAGGTAAATTATTTTACCACTCAAAGTCGTTGTCACGTAAAACTTTCGCCCGTATACCGACTTTACAGGCAACCAATTTTTTTATTTTGATATTAAGTAACTACAGATTCATAAGTTCTTCTCTAATATAATTATATACACTTTGATATAATTATGAAACTGATTTCAAACTGAATATAAAAATTATCTCATTCATGTCCAAATACTCAAACGCCACGCCATTTTAAGTCGCGCTTAAGTATAGTTCTGTCACTACAAATTCATTGTAAAATGACAGAGATGGCACGATATTTAAGTACAATTTAAAATTGAGTAGCCTTTCAGTATTCGGGCGTCATTCACTTAAAGTTTTGCTACAAATAATGTTTTCTCCATTCTTCAGAGATACCGATACCTTCTCGACGTAAGCTGATGATGATCGACGCGTTCCTCCACCTGGCCAGTCCAGGGTCCCCTCGCCTGCCTGAAGACATATCAGTTGGCGTACCAGTAGTATACACCAAGGAGAAATCATTCTACGTCCAGAGCATCATGGACACATTCAAGAGCTTCGTCTCCGCTGAGGCGTTTTTGAAAAAGGACTGTAATTCTGGCATGGGATTTTTGTATGGTGAGTATTAACTGTTTTCACGAATATCTCATAATTTTTAAGGAATGCTTAAGCGGAGGTAGGTAACACTGAATGACATTTTTATTTTAACCAACCTAAAACTCCTAGAAGTGAAACCTAATGATAAATGAAGCCTTTCCTAAACACTTAGTTGCACCTAAAAGTAAAAGAATCGTTTCCTAAACACTGTTAGTTTAAGTGCTCCTTCAAACTCAGTAACACTTAGTTAAGAGATGGTTTAGAGGTGGTTGGTGAAAATTACCGTAAGTGCAACTTCGATCGACGAGTATCCATAAAGAGCTAAGTAAATGTATACGGACTGAAAAAGGTGTGCCAGAATCTTACTAACGTTATTTACTTTTTTCAGATGCGGAGTTCGCAGTGGATGCCAAATGCCACCCTGTACCTTTAGATAAAGCTGAAAACAACAAAAGGTAATATAATATACTCATTTTCTCAAAACAATTATTGAATAAATATGAACTCTATTTTTAACACAATAACGTCTAAATTCCAGCGTGTTCCGGATAGCGGTGCTAGGTTTGGACTACCACGACATGGCTAGGAAGTCTGCCGTGCCCCTCGGCATCAACCAGCTTCATACTAGGTTACTTGAATTAAAGGTATGTAGACGAGAATAGAATATTTTTGTCGCTATAGTGTGAGACTGGGATAATAAGAATGAGAGCGAAAGGGAAAAGGAGAGGGAGGGGAAAATGAGAGATAGATCGGTAGATAGTCAATCAGAGATAGAGTGAGAGAGGGAAAGAGAAGGAGATGATATATTAGAGATACTTTACCCTCTTAGTACTTTTCATATAAGAAATAATGTTTGGTGATGTTGTGAATTTAGATGACACTTATTTTTTTTTTCGCCATACATATCTATTAAGTATTTATTCCACTGACGATTTATTGCATGATACTTATAACTGTGATTTTCTAATTCCAGGGCTTCAAAGTACTCCAAATTCCATACACAGAGTTCAGTCCTAAAGACAAGTTGGTGACCAGAGTGCAATACATAGAAAAGAGATTAAAGGAGATTGTCAACAAGTCAGGTCAGACGTAGGCATCCTAACTTAGGTACTAGACACTGTGAGCTCGGTCACCTTAGGTTCAATGTATACTAGCGCAGAGTCGAAGCTCATCGGAGCGTCTTTCCAAAACCGAACATAACAAATTCAACCTTAACTCCACAGCATAACGCACACATTGCTTCTGTGATTTCAATTACAGTTGTTTACGTGCAGCCGCGCGAATGAGGCCTAACGTATTACTCATAAGATGTCGCTAGTGTTCACACTCGTTCGTCCAATGGAGAATTAGCTAGTGTCACACCATTAGACGTTTTATATCTGACAGCTGATGTGATTGGATTAAAAAAACCCCTTTAGTCTTAAAAGTCCCGCTTCTCATGCATGAGGGTACCAATGTGACTTTTTTCGAGTTATATATACTTTCTAAGATTATCTAGAGACACACCACCAGTTGTCGCGGAGAACCTAACGGGTTACCGAGGCTCCGGCTCGACGTGCAGGAGAAGGAACGGGGTGGGTTTTAGACAGTAAGAGTCTGACACTCCCTCCCGCCTCACCCAGGCGGGAGCAGTCATTCGATGATTATCCCCCCTTTATAAAAAAAGACCACCAGTTTCCACTGACAAACGGTGAAGGAAAACATCGTGAGGAAACCTGGGCTTATAATTTCTAATTATAAATTTGAAATCGCCAACCCGCATTGAGCAAGCGTTGTTTTTTTTTTTTTTTTTTTTTTATGGAATTGGAGGCAAACGAGCAGACGGATCACCTGATGGTAAGCGATCAGCGCCGCCCATGGACACCCGCAACACCAGAAGAGTCACAGGTGCGTTGCCGGCCTTTTAAAAAGGAGTACGCTCTTTTCTTGAAGGTTTGAAGGTCGTATCGGTTCGGAAATACCGCCGACGACAGATCATTCCACAGTTTTGCTGTGCGAGGCAGGAAGCTACGTGAGAACCGCACAGTTGTGGCCCGCCAACCATCTATTTGATGGGGATGCATATGCTGTCGTGAGGGCCGATGGCGAAAAGATGCGGCAGGTATCAGGTCAAACAATTCCTCAGAGCACTCCCCGTGGTATAAGCGGTAGAAAATGCACAATGAAGCTACATCGTTGTGATTAATGCTCAAACCTTCTCTGTGTGAGAAGAGGCTTTGCTCAGCAGTTGGCATTTATAGGCTGTTGATGATGATGATGATGGGTCTTAAAAGTAATGTGTGCGTTACGCTGTGGAGTTAAGGTTGAATTTGTTATGTTCAATTATAGAAAGACGTTCCGATGAGCTTCGACTTTGCGTTAGTATACATTGAACCTAAGTCACCTGGTCGCTATTGTAATATACTGATATATGTATGTATGATTGTTATACAAACATCGTAAGGTATATGATATTGTTTTTGATACAAAACTGCAGCTGTAGCCAAATGCCATTTAACGCTTGTCTACATGTAGAATAGATAACCAAATTATATGGGATTGACGTAAATTTTGACACTTGTCAGTGTCATCCCCATACATTTTGATTTCTACTCTCTCTGTAGACAAGCGCTAAAGTGGCGTTTGGCTAAAGGCACTGGACTGCTTGAGTTAGCGGTATTCGAATCGTTTTGTTAAATGTTTTTGTATGAAGTCGGTTGGTCAGTCTGTTCTCGGTTTTCTAAAAGGAGTGGTTGATACGGCTAAGGAGAACAAAGTTTTTAATTTACAGTTGTATGGAAAAAGCTAAATAAGTCATTGTTAATTAAAGTTAAAATCAATATACTTGATGACTTTCCAGTAGTGTGTTATGTATTTTATATTAATTACACCGTGAAATCTATTTCGTTTTCGTCCCCCGGCAAAACAACTTGCCATACATTTTGATTAAAAAACTAATAACAAAAAGAAAATAAGAAGTCATTTTTTTTAAATACGCACGTGCCACACGACTTGTAAAACCTCTTCGAGAATTACCTAGCGTGATGGTTTGATAATGTACTATGAGTTAGTAAGCGCTTTCGAAGTTCGCTTGTTGCAATGGTTCACCAGTTATTATTGGTTTTAAACATTTTATTTCTTTGTAAAACTATTGTGTTACCAAGACAGAACTATTCTACTTCGGGACGAAAACGAAAAAGTTTTCACGGCGTATACAAGATTATCTTTACTCGAAAGGCTCCCGGATCGGTCACAGTTTCAGAAAATAAAGAAACAGTCAGTTATTACTTTGGTATTGGTACCTTTGAGGTACAGTCAAAGGTCAAAGGTCCACTGCCACTGCCGTGAGTGATGTTCACACGGCAATGCGTAAGTAATTTCATATTAATGTGCATAGAACGCGTGCGTACGCATAAACACACGCACGCGTACGCACACGGATACAAATATGCGTGCGCATGTTGGTATAAGCGCTGCAGCGCAACCGATAGTAGTCTTACGGTGGCAGTGGACTTTTGACCTTTGACCGTACATAAGGACTACTTAAATGATTAATCAATCAGACAGGCCATACTGACCTCATTACAAAATAGATACATGATAGACAATCGTTACAAACGTATAGACCATCGCATGGTTCACTATTTTTGCCGGCATACAGTGATAAAGTATTGTTGTGTTGTACTAAGTGTACTACTTTATACTACTTTATAGCAAAAATATGATGACAAGATAAATTATGTTTTGTTCCATTATTTTGTAAATCCATGTGAACAAATATCAACTCTATGGTCTAAGTTATTTAAAGTTCATTTCAATATAAAAAGCTTCACTGTCACAATTTCATTTAAAATTCCAGCTTCATTGGAAACTACGCTTTATGCAGATATCATAAAGTTAGTTTTTCAAATCAAATATTTTTAAATCGAGAACGTTATTTTCGTTTGTATGCTGTTACCATGCGTATGTGTTAGAACCAAACCGTATTCATGTAATTTATTAGTTAATTTTATGTCTGGGTTAGTTAAAACTTCGACCAATATCGGTGGCCAAAGCCAATGTTACCTGGCCTTAGTTTACGTACTTATGAAGTTCCTCTGCCAAGCATTGGACGTAACGTTGGCATTGGTAACCAGTGTTGGCGATGGTTACGATTGTATACAAATATATTTTTATTGTTTTCTGTTGACCATGTCAATGGATAGGGTAAAGTATTATTGGTCTTTTTATGTAGAAATTCTTAATTATGAAGTCTGAATTTACATGAGACTCGGAAAATAGTATACCTTTAAGGATTAACCACTGTGAAGTTCCGACTATGTTCTCTAACAACAATTACTTATTGTTTAAAACAAAAATATATTTGTATACAATATCTGTTGGTATATGTTGACAATGTATGTTTGTGTGCGTGGTATGTAGATACGGCTGTTAATATTATTATTTAAATAAAACAGATTTAACAATAACGCAAGTATTTTATTTTTTCTAATAAATTAATATAATCTATTTATAAGTACCGCAGTCATAGCTTTTTATTTAATTTGAAACAATATACCACTGACGAGGTGACGAGTGGATGTTACCTTGGCCCCTTAGGGTTAGTACATTAAAAGGGTTGAAGCCATGTTATATTTAACAAGAATGTTAATGATATAAAGCAACATTGTTGTTAATTTACTTTGTTAATTATGTACTTTAACTCTCTCTAATTTACATCAAGTGAAACGCATTCTTTACATATTTGTAAGACAAATTATAAAACAATAATTTTGACCTCATAACCACATTAGCTTAGCTTGGATTAAAACGTTATGTCTCCATTTTCCCTGGTTGTCAAAGGTTCAAGGTTGTTTCAGCCTTGATATAAAATTAATATTTTTGACCATGCAAAAACATCTGGTTCCAGATATCGGAATTTTATAAAACATTGCGAATTTAATGCAAACATAGTCTGCTATCGTACGTGTATGCCGTTTGCCATGAATCTGAAACAATAATATTATTGTAATTGACATTTTAATTACGTTTTTTTGTCTTTATCACGAAGTTGGAATGATATTTTTGTCTTTGTGATCCTTTTATTGACTTAGCTCTGTTTAGGACGTAGGAGCTTGCTAAGACAGGATTTTGCAAAATTCGACCCTTAGGGGTTACGGAGCCGCGGAAGACTTAACGGGTTGCCGGGGCTCAGGCTCGAAGAGCAGCAGTAGGAACGGGGTGGTGTTTAGTCAGTAAGAGTCTGACACTCTCATCCAAAGCGGGAGAAGTCATTGGATGACTTCCTCTTTCAAAAAAGGGGTTTTAGGTTTTTTTTATCTCCTGTTTCTGTCGACTTAGGGCTACGTTGCCGCTTCGTGGACAGTTTTCATTGTTTCTAAGCAAGATGCAAGCATTTGTCATTTTGTAGGCCGCCTAGTGTTTGTAAAGGATGCATGCATTCATTCGGCAAATGACGCAACGTAGACAGTGTTACCCTTACACTAATTTATGTAGTCCGATACACAGTGACGTACCGTGGGTATCGGCCGCCCTGGGCGGGAGACAAGGTTGCCACCCTCTTATTTAGGTATTTCTATTAACATTCGATACGTACATTTCTGTGTGTTGTGCCGATGTGTCATAGTAGCGCGGAGGTAAAGGTGCTGGTGTCATAGGAAGGGGCGGATTTGAAACCTGGCAAGTAACGTGACGTTTTTCCAACTTATATGTATTCTCTAAGTTTTAGAGACACCATATGCGGTGAAGGAAAATATAGTGAGGAAACCTAGACTTGAAATTTAAATTTTAGTTAGAAGTCGCCAACCTGCCTTGAGTAATCATGGCGTCGTGATTAATGCTCATTCTCTCCGTGTGTGAAGGCTATCCTTTGCTAACCAAAGGGTCAGTTACAGGCTGATTACAATGATGACATTAATTCTAGAGAACTTCTTGGCAAAATCATTATTTTGTATAATAAACTACAGCTTAATTGTGCAAGTATCGATCAAGTGGACACTTAATTTGACGGCGCCCGGGGCGGGCTGCTCCTGCCCCTACGGTACGCCACTGTTATACATTGTACATTTAAGACAACTGTTTGACGACATTACTCGACCAGTTTCAAGCCACGCCAAGAGCCCAAAATTTTGAGCAGTATCCTCGATCACATACCTATGCGCGAATTATTATCATGTGCAGGGGCACATACTAGGGAGTATAGTACCTACTTATACCTTCAGCACGTTTGGGTTGCCTCGTTGGTCGAGTGATCGCAAGTTCGACTGCCGGGCAAGAGGTCTCGGGTTCGATGCCCGGGTAGGGCAAAGTATAGTTGGGGTTTTCAAAAAAAAAATCTCAGTAGTAGCACAGAGTCTGGAATTCTTATCCAATAAATTGGCAATAAGTTCAACCCTATTACAAGGGACTCATAACATAACTAGTGAAAAGTAGGTGTTACATTGTACAGTAGCATTAAGCAAAGAGTATAAAAGGTATAGGGGGCATTAAGTGCTTTAATGTGCACCTCTGCCTACCCGTTCGGGGTTAAAGGCGTGATGATATATATTTATTATAAGCTCGTTCAAAGCAATAATATACTTACGTGCCAAAATTCTTGAAGAAATCAGTGACCGCCTTGCCGACGTCTACGAAAAACTGGACGATCTGTGGCACCTTGACCTTTGTCTCCACCGGCATGTACACCACCTGCTGGTTTAGTACCTGGAGACTCCTGAAGTTGTGCCGTACTATGCCTATGTTGGCGAACATGCGGTACTGGAGAAGAGAGACTTTGGTGAGGAAGAATATAGAGAGGATCATTTTCATCTGGTGTTGTTGATGGTGGCGCGGAAGTTAAGGTAATCTTCTTCTTGCCTCTCAAGCATGGGGGATGCAGTTCGAAACCGAAGGCAAATATCAATACGACCTTTCCTAACATGTATAATTTCTAAGTATATTTATAATATGATCGAATGTTTACCTACTAAAGAAGAACAAGAAAAGAAGAAGAAAAAAGAAGTCGAAGAGAGACAGAGAGAGAGAGAGAGATAGTTATTAAAGCACCACTGACATGCGATGAAGGAAAACATCGTAAGAAAATCTGCGGGGTTATTATGACGTCCTGAAGTCAGAATGGTTTCATTGAGGGAAAGAAACAGAGCTATATAAGTCGTCTAGCGATATCTCTATCCCTCAACGGAACCACGGCTTTAAGATCTGGACTTATACTTTCAAATGATTAAGTTAACGTAGTAGGTATATATTCCACCTTCGTATTCGAAAAGTCCTAAAAGTCCTATGAGCAGTAACACATTTAGAGACGGCTAATAAAGCAAACGTATTAAATTATGTAATATATGAAAATACGTGAACCTGTGCATCCGATAAGTATATTGGCGATGTGAAGATGATCCAGGTGACGGCCTCGTTGCAGTCGGGTGACGTCAGGGACCCCGCGTATGTGTAATATGACGACTTGTCTACATTTAACAGCTTTCTGAAAAATGAGAATACTTGCCTTAAAAATCGAATATACTGACTATACTTTCAAATTATAGCATTCTGTATAGCAATGTGTCAGAGGCCTAGCTTAAATACATTGTAAACAAAATGGCAGCTAATAATAGCGTTCTGTTTTTGAAATGCGAGATTTAATTTTTTTTTATGAATGCTCTCATTTGTCATTTTTACTGCGTTCGAAATTAGGAATACTTTTCTTGTTCTTTTTTTAAATGGATGGTGATGTATTGTAAATAAGGGACAATGACGTTTTAAATTTAAAATCAAAAGGAATTTGAATGTGGTGTTAAAAATGTCAATGTTATTTTGAGTGATGAATTACTCTTCGGGTTAAAGTCAAGTAAGGATTATTATTATTAAACGACGTTGCTTTTAAAAAAAGTGTTTCTGGCTTTGTTCTGTGTTCTGTGTTGTGGCTTCACTTATGTACTTAACCCTTTGAGTACCGTCATTATTGACACAATTAAAGAACAATAGGTTGCGGTCATCGGTGTCCTCGCGGTGTTTGACAGTTAAATGAACCGGCGTGATAACACGACGCTTGTCTCAGCTCTTTGCTGTCGATTCCGCAACGTCGACGCATCGCACTCGCTCCTCATGAATAACATACCCGGTGTGACTTGAAAGTAATAAAGCTTTTCTTGTAGCTATAGTTCACGTGAGTAATTTCAAAACATAGATAAAGACAAAATACTTACTATTCTCAAGAATAAGTACAATGCAAGAGCAATTCAATTTAGTACTAACAAGTCATAAAAAGACAATTTAAAACACAGCCCAGGTATGTAGATACCTAATTTGGTACTCAAAGGAAGTCGGTTATCAATTTATCAAATTCAATCGTTCGTAACGTCTTCCTAATTCCATCCAATTAGCTACTTATCTTCAATTTTTATGTCTTTAAGAAATGCATTTTTAAATTATAAGGTGGGGGAAAAAAATCGGTAATTTACATACGTACGTAATGTACTACTTATATTCAGTGTAAGTATTACCTTCCGACACGTGATATAAAATTACGTTGATTTATAAGATAGCTATGTATTTAGTTGCTTAAGTGTGGGAGAGCCATGCTTCGGCACGAATGGGCCGGCTCGACCGGAGTGAAACCACGGCCTCACAGAAAACCGACGTGAAGCAACGCTTGCATTGTGTCGTCGTGTAACTGAGGTTACCGGAGGCCCAATTACCCCCTCCCCTTCCCCAATCTCCCCAATCCCTGAATCCCCAACGATCCTCAAACTCCTAATCTCCAAAAGGCCTTGTAAAGCACTTGTACCGTCTCTGGTATTCCAGGTGTCCATGGGCGACGCCGACTTGCTTACGATCAGGTGATCCGCCTGCTCGTCCACCGGCTTATGCCATAAAAATTGTACATGTCCAGATGTCGATACTTATAGCTCAACATGCTTTACTGACTTTACGAGTGGCCAAATGCAGTTTCACGCCGGTTTTTTGTAAGGCACGGCCTTATTATTTCGGTCGAGTCGGCCCATACCGAATAGAATACAACTTAGAAGTGATGCTCTCCCAAGTGAGATTGAGAAATTATAGAATCAAATATTTTGTCTCGTTTTCGGAAGTGTTCCGTTTACACCTATACATCCTAACTAGTTACAGGGTAGTTTCTACTTATACCTAGCTGACAGTCTAAGGTACTCACGTCATATCGAGGAGCACTCCGCTGAGTCGGTTTCCTGGCCTCATTAGCTTCGGGACGTGCGTCATCACTTCTTCCATATGTAAATCGCTGTCGTCTAATTCACTTTGTACCTGTTGTATTCAAACATAGAATAGAATAGAATAGAATATAACTTTATTGTACACCATTAATAATACAGTACATACAGAAAAGGAAATGACATACACATACATTTTCATTAAAATAGTATAATAAAGTGCCATTCGGGCCATGCAGAAAGAAAGTATAGAGCGCCACCTACTACGGTTCGTTTATCAATCAAAAAGTTCTTTAACTTGGTGTAGGGATCCTCATATCATGCATTGGCAATGGGCTTCTCGTCTTTATGACATTCGAATATCTGTGATTGCTAAATAAAATATATTATGCAATGCTATTCAACACCAGCCGCTTGTGATATTTCTACCAACTGTTCCACTATGTGTCTTTACTTAAGAGGGTTTGGTATCATCCAGACCACCACAAAAAAGGTTCAAGTTTATCATAAAGCGCTGCTACCAATCCCGGTTCCTGACAAATGTTTTACATTTTTATTCCACCATCCAATTACCACCCCTTCCCAGTCTCCCCAATCCTGGAAACCCCCGCAATCCCCAAAGGCTGGTAACGGACTTATAAAGCCTCTGGTGTTCCAGATGTCCATGAGCGGCGCTGATTGCTTACCATATGGTGTGCTGTCGGCTCGTTTCCTACTTAACAGCTGTTAATTTCTATTTACCAACACAAAATTATGATAATAATATAAACATGCTCTTCAATGGAAAGTAAGGCACAATTTCCAATAAAAAAATTGAGGTAACCTTTCGAAATTTCTTTGATAAACTTCAAAGTACGTGTCATGGCGGCAAGGTCGTAATAAATGCAATCATCAGCACTGTTAAAACTGTGTTAAATATTTCGTTATTACATATTTTTAAGTACCTACAGTGATAACATCTCTAATTACTGTGGTTATTGTTTTTATTTTGCTCGTATTTATCACCGGTTTTGCAAATTAACACTCGAATTAGTACTTATTAGGCTTGACATACGGATTTAGTGCTTAAATATGTGCTATTAGGTAAAATGCAGTCTATATAAAATGTTAATAAAATTGTCGTTAATTGGCTTATAATTTTAGTTATTCTGTTTATTACATGGCAGGATTAATTGGCATATGTTAAATGTTATAATCCCACAATCAAGAAATCTTAAATAGGTACTGAATGGGTTTTGATGACATCGCAGAATAAACCTTGAAAAAATTGAATTTCCCGACGTCATCATTCCACGCGGACGAAGTCGCGGGCAAGAGCCAGTTGTCTTATATTTAGTGCTAATACTTACATCCCTTTTCTGAAACACAGAGGTGACCAAAACATTCATTTTTGAGAATTATTAGCGTTTTTCGTCTTTGATTGTGTAACTGCCGGATAATTTGACGTGTATTCTATAAGAAATGTGTCACAATCAGCATGTCCCTATCAGTTTAATTATAGTAACATATAACGAACTAACGAACTATCGCAAAAAATAAAGAAATAAAATTTCATAAAGGATTCTTAATAACTCATGTTCAGATTCATTTGGCATTAAAGACAGAAAACGGGTAAGGGGTCTTAGGTTCGATTCCCGGGTCGGGCAAAGTATTACTGGGTTTTTAAAAAATTCTCAGTAGTAGCACGGAGACTGGAACTGTGCCCGGTATATGGCAATAGGCTCATCCCCTATTACATGGGACTCATAACATAATAGTGAAAAGTGGGTGTTACATTGTACAGTGGTATAATGTGCACCTCTGCCTACCCCTTCGAGGATAAAGGCGTGATGTTATGTAATGTATGTAAAGACAGAAAAAAAGCTCATGTTTGTTACATTGAAATTGACAGTTATTCTGCTTGGTAATAAAGTGATGATTTGAACCACAGGTTGCATAAATAGTTCAAGCAAATCGCTACAAATATTAGTAGTAGTCCTCTTATTTTTTTCGTCCACAGTTTTGAGCATAATAATGTATTATCTAGTTGATACAATTTTACTTTAACTCGTCAAGTACCGGTTTTATAGACACAATTAAAGAACAATAGGTCGCGGTCACCGGTGACCGCTTGGTGTTTGACAGTTTAATATTGTAATTTGTATTACAGTACATAAAAAAAAACAAAATTGTAAGTGGAATACCTATATACAAATTAATTATTTTTATAGATGTCCTATTTATTAGTCTTAATACTTAGGTAGTAGTTTTACAGCTAAAGTCCTAAATAACTTTGCGATATTTTAAATATATAGCCGCAGCGCGATATTTATTTATTTTTGTTTCATAGATAAAAGACAACAGCTATGTATTTTTAACTATTAATATTTTTGAAGTTCTCTAGTGAACTGACTGCCTCATTGGCCGAGTGCTCGCAAGCGCGACTGCCGGGCAAGGGATCTGGGGTTCGAATCCCGGGATGGGAAAAGTATAAATGGGTTTCTTAAAAAAATTTCAGTAGTAGCACGGAGTCTGGAATTGTGCCCGGTATATGGCAATAGGCTCATCCCCTATTACATGAGACTCGTAACATAAATAGTGAAGACTGGATGTTGCATTGTACAGTGTATAGTTATATAATGTATGTTCTCTAATGAACAGAAACCGAAAACTGGCAGACGATGGAACATTTTCAGAATACTGCTACTTATTTCGCAGTGGTTGGTCATTTTAGCCTAAAATAATATACTTTTAGGACATGCGTGACGCAAAGGAAGGTTAATTATTAATCACCTACATGATTTATGTCTTTTTTCATGTTTGCCAAATTTTTATGCTATTACTTGAGTAACTTAACTAGTTGTCTTAAAAAACTTACGTTGCCAAAGACGGAGATGATGGCCAGCCCGTCCTTCCTATGCAGCGCCTGATTCACCGTGAGATCCGCTCTCACGTGAACGAAGTGTATCTCCATTGGATACCTGAAAGAATTTTATTAATCTTCCTATTTTATTCTCAGTAGTTATATTGGTAGTACGTACCAAATAACTTTATGGACGATACCAGGTTAATCTAACTTCAGGAAGATGCAATGACGCCATACTTTATCCCACATTTTAAGTGTGGGAGAGCCATGCTTCGGCACGAATGGGCCGGCTCGACCGGAGGAATACCACGACCTCATAGAAGACCGATGTGAAACAACGCTTGCGTTGTGTTTCGTTGTGTGAGTGACGTTATCGGAGGCCCAATTACCCCCCCCCCCCTTTCCCCAATCCTTGAATCCCAACAATCCTCAAATCCCTAATCCCAAAAGGCCCGTAACGCACTTGTAACGCCTCTGGAGTTCCAGGTGTCCATGGGCGACGCCGATTGCTTACCATCAGGTGATCCGTCTGCTCGTTTACGGGCTTAAGCTATAAAAAAATATCTTTATAGACGATACCAGGTTAATCTAACTTCAGGAAGATGCAATGACGCCATACTTTCAAATTAGGTACTATTCACTTTTCGGTTAATTTATGATAAATAGTAGTGAGGTGACCATAAAAATATGCTGTCACAATGAAGAATCCAGTGAAATATTCAAAGATAATTGTGGTTTAGGAACCCTACCTTATTTGCCTTTTACAAATATCCCAATAAATAAGTTAGTAACTTACTTGATACCATTAACGGCGTGTTCCGAGAGCCAGTGGAAGTGAAGCTGTTCTAGCCTGTACCGGTGTTTGAGAGGCCCCCCGGAGACCAGCGGGTGCATCAGATCCTCCCCCTCCGTGCTGAATTGTACTGGAAAATATTAAACCTCGTTGGTAAACATTCATGTGGGAGAACTAGTACCCCGGTAATGCACTTGCAACTTATTTTTTTTAGGTTTGGTGGTGTTTAATATTATGTCTAATGTCGGCACCAAGCTGCTTACCATCAGGTTGGAGGACGTCATCCCTGGTTGGAGATCTCAGTTCAAAAGACTTGTCAGAGACCGCTGCTGCATATTTGTCAAATGGGTAGCAGTGGTGTGGTGTACTCGAGGGTGTAAAGTCGGCCAAATGCCACGGGCCCCGATAAGGAATTCATTTGAATTTCTTTCTTTTTATTGGGATCGGGACCCCATTAGATGAATCTGACAAGCCCCTCGAACGGTATAGCTACGCTACTGATGTGTAGTACCTTGATTGTCTCTTAAGATACCCAGGGAAAAGTAGGCCGAAATGATTTTTTTTTAGACATTTTCAACAATTTTCTAGAACCTGTACCTACGTACTGTCGTAGGTATATATATGGGGACTGGATTACTTACTAGTATGACCATTATTGATTCCAGTGGTGAGAACCTTCTGGTATCCTGTGAACTTGAGCGGACCATACTTGATGAACTCCTTCCTGAAGTCCCGCACCACATCTGCAGTCCTGATGTCGATGGGAGACTGCCGTTTGCCACCTGACTGGCAGAGTTTGCCTGGCCACTTGCTTTCATCTACAAAATTTATATAAAATTGTTACTATCCACCATCTGAAGTAGTTTTGTAATCAGCTGTTTCGATGAAAGAAGTGAAGGTAAAAGGGTTTTCTCAATTCGTGAATGTTCTCATTCATGTAATTGCTTTTTTGGTGCATTTTCATAAACACGTAGGTATTTTTTTAGGAGTAAAATCATCCAATAACTTCTTCTGCTTTGGGTAAGGCGAGAGATAGTGCTATCGGTTACTACTCCTGCTTTAAACCTACTACGTGTTTTCCAGAGCCCCGATAACCTGATGCGTTGACCGCAGGGAAAAAGCTATATACAATTATGCACCATTATAGACTGTGCCATTATGATACTATTGTTATTCAATTGTCAGGTCTCATAATAACTTACTGAATAAAATAAAAAAGCATGTTCTATAATCCTAACACCACACAATACATTGGAATGCCAGACATTCCATGAAAAGGACTATAGAATCCTTTGTGTACTTATGTAAGACTATTCTTACCACACTTTCTATTGCATAACTTTTTATAAATAAAGTTGAAGAAACCGAAGGGTAAAGTTGATTAAGAACTTGAATTAGCGGTTATGTAGCGTTTTCAAAGTCAGACAGACCTGTATAAATTCATAACTATTATGTACGTTGCCATAACAACGTGTGACCTTTGATTTAAAGTTTCAAGTCAAGCCTTGAATCTACAATGTTTTTGATTTTCTTTCTTCAGGGATTTTTCAATGAATTAAACTAAAGCAGATTTAATATAGGTAACCCACCGACCGACTGTTAATTACCCTGAATAAATAACTGATATTACACATCGGCCGATTCGATGGCACGGTCGACGCGGTGGCTGGGCAAACGGCTGCCGCGCAACGTGTTGCGGGTTCGATTCCCGCACGGAGCAACTCATTGTGTGATCCACAAATTGCTGTGTCGGGACGGGGTCTAATGTGTATGTGAACTTGTACGTCTATAAACGCACCCACGACACAGGAGATAATGCCAGTGTGGGGCAACGTTTAAAAAATATAAACAACAAAAAACCCTGTTATGTTTGGATAGAAAAATACTCAATTTTAAAACTTCAGAAGAAGATAGGTTAATTTGAAAACCAGGTAAAAATTGTAATTCAAATTATATTCTTACCATCATAAGACCAGATTAGATCCGCAGTAGAAGCTTTGGTCTCAGGAGTCACAGCCACTATTTCTGTAAAATTAAAATCAAAACATTGAATTTACCCAAACTAGTAGTCATCGTGATTATGACCGGCTGGTACATGGCAATAGGAGCACTAAGGGGAAGGCCTTATTCCAGCAGTGGCCGTCTTCCGGCTATTGTTGATGATGATGATGATATTGCGATGGGCCCACACCGTAACTGACTCTCAACACGTTAAACGCCATGGCAGTCACCGGTGACCGACATTAGCGGAGGATTTGCCTTCAACAGTTTTTTATTGGCAGTCAATGCCTTAATCGTTGAATGTTGCGAAGTTATGCCAAGGTATTCCCGGTGGGATACAATATGGGGTTCTTCAAAAAAGGAGTAAATCCTTACTAATATTATAAATCCGAAAGTGAGTTTGTTTGTTCCTCTTTCACGCCGTAACTACTAAACCGATTGCTTTGAAATTTTGCACACGTAAAGTTAGAAGTCCAGATTAAATAATAGGATACTTTTTATCCCGAAACAATGTGATATTCCCGAGGGAAAACAAAAATATTAGTATAGATGGCGCTGTGTGTCTTCGTATAGATGGCGCAGTATGCCATTTAAAACAATTCAAGGAATTACCTACTAATTGGAAGTTTAGCGCTTTATCTATAGCGCTTATTTGGTGTTAATCTACACTTATTCGGTGCACTTTTCGACTCATTTATTTTGTGACGCGAGCGAAGCCGCTGGTAAAAGCTAGTAGGTTAATAAAGGGACGGCAAGGCGCATGTAATGCCCCAGGTGTTGCAGGCGTACATAGGCCAAGGTAACCACTTACAATCAGGTAGGCCGTGTGATTTTCTTGCCACCGTCGTGGTATAAAAAAAGTTAGTTATATTCGTTTAAATGAAACTATGGTTTCTACATTACAATATTTCCAAGTTATCAGTACAGGTTTTCAGCAGGAACTTGATTAGGTACACAGAAACAGAATTTGGGTCCGATTCAAGTGTCCATTTTTTTTTTGTGGAATAGGAGGCAAACAAGCAGACGTATCACCTGATGGTAAGCGATCAGCGCTGCTCATGGACATCCGCAACACCAGAGGACTCACAGGTGCGTTGCCGGCCTTTTAAAAAGGAATACGCTCTTTTCTTGAAGGTTTGAAGGTCGTATCGGTATAGTAAAAGTATATAAAGTAGATAAAGTATATTTAAATGGAAAATAAATCTAAATAAGTGATCAAATAATATCACGCTTCGAAAATATTTAACAGGCCTTTTATTCCCGAAAGGGTAGGCAGAGGTGCACATTATACCACTGTACAATGTAACACCCACTTTTTACTATTTATGTTATGAGTCCCATGTAATAGGGGGTGACATATCAAATAATTTAGTATGCTATACGCACTGGAAAAAAATAAGGCATACAACCCTTCAAGTGGGGAGCTTCCCGAGCGAACGAGCGATTACTAGTAATCGATCTGCAAAAGTATTTTAAATGAAAAACTTTTTTGAGTTTCCATTTTTTACGGAGTAGTGACTGACTAAGTGTTCCATTAAAATAATAAATGATTCAGTAAATGGGCTCCAAGACAGTGAACCTATGAAATATCAAGAAAAGGATTTAGGATGACTGAATAAGGCCTGCAGTGAGCTGCTGGAAGCAGGTCGGTTCCAAGTCAGCCTGTTAAAATTTGTTGAAAATCATCCCCTAAATTTGTTCATACAAAAGTAGTCTCTAAACATTGGAAATAAGGTTTATAATGTAGTTAGTGGAGACCGGTGACCGCTTCGGGATATATGGGAGTAATGTCCTATGGGTCGATGTGAAAGGCATTGGGGAAGGTCTAAATACCTTCGTACCGAGGACATTTGTGGTTGATATGATGATGAATAAAAAATGTACTCTGATAGCGTCGAAACCAACATAAAGTTCCAGAGCCTTTAATTCATCGAAAGATTGAACAGATGCACATATTGAAATAATTACTGCCTCGTTGGCAAATTGGTTGCAAGTGCGACTTTGAGTGCAAGTGTGACCGGGTAAGAGGTATTCCCGGGCCGGGCAGAGTAATATAGGGTTTTTTAGAAAAATCTCAGTGGTAGCACGGAGTCTGGAATTGTGCCCGGTATATGGCAACCGACTCCCCCCCTATTACACGGGACTCATAACATAAATAGTGAAAAGTGGGTGTTACATTGTACAGTGGCATTAAGTGCGTAATGTACACCTCTGCCCCTTCTGGGATAAAAGCCGTGATGTTATGATGAAGCCATATTGAAATATTATGTAACATCCAGTTTTCAGATGTTATGTAGTAAGGGCGGTGAGACCAAAAAATCTAGCGTAAAACAATAGGTAAGATTACATCACATCTATTATCTGAAATGTAACAGGTGTACTAGAAAACGTCTCATCTATTGTTCGTATCACGAAAACAAATCCATTGAAATCGATAATACAATCTACGTTTCGTCCTGTTATTGAGAATTTTGGAAATTAAACACTTATCTGACCCAAAATTGGGATCACATCGTTGATCAAAGATTACGAAGATTATATCATGTGTGAATTGAATTTTACTGTGTGCTGTAAAATTTATTTACAAAAATCTCTGTTAACGGACTTCAAAAAAGGAGGTTCTATATTTGACCTGTATGTATTATGTATATGTACATGTTATGTGCACGATTATCTCGCGATCGAATCGATGCGTTTGATGCGATTTTCCGAAAAGTGTTTATTAAGCTTAGGGGAAGGCTTTAGTATATAATTTAACCTTTCAAAATAGAGGGGTTGAAGTGGGTTTTTCAAACGTTGTTTGAAAAGAAGAATTATTGGTTATTTATATATATATGTGCGCAGCGTAGGACGTTCACCTACAAGGTGGACAGACCTCCTGGTAAGGGATACAGAAAGCTGCTGCATGCAGACTGCGATGGCCGATCTGGAAGTCTCTGGGGAAGCCCTATGTTCAGCAGTAGATGTTCTATGACGTCCACTGCTGTAGGTGATGATGATGTAGGTGATGTAGGAACATGCACAAACACCAAATATAGGAAAGAAACATTATAAAAACTACGTTTAAAAACCGACTTTAACCCCCTCTTTTTTATATACTAAAACCTTCTCCTGTATGTAACCTACACTTCTGAAAACCGCAGCAAAATCGGTTCAGCCATAATCTATATAATCGCACATAAACATTTATATACATACATACAGGTCAAACTGAGAATCTCTTTCTTTTTTGAAGTCGGTTAAAAATAAAGGAGTTGGTGGCAGATTTACAAAATATAAAACGAAGCACGACTTTTAGCATTCTACCTTGAAAATGGCGAAATGCTCTATGCAAACTTCCACCCCCAATTTTATCGAAGAAACAAAAACTAGCCTATGTTCCTTCAACTATCTCTACTCAAACATCACGTTAAATTAGTGACTCCGTTTTGCTATGAAAGATGGATTAACAAACAGATATTCACACTTTCACATTTATAGTACCTAAGAAATGACGAGCATGCATGAAAAAAATGATGACTGTTGATGTAGCGAAAGAGGTATGTAAGAATCGTAGCAATTGGCGTTTGATAGTCTCTACCTAACCCCTTGAGAGTATATATGTTGTAAGTATGGAAGTATGAATAACAGTTAAGTATAAAGGTACAATATCTTATTCTTAGGTAACATACAAGCAGACGGATCACCTGATGATAAGAAATCACAACCGCCCTTGGACATCCACTGTAATAGTGGAGTTACAAGTGCATTACTGACCCTAGGGATATGAGCATTTCGGATGGAGGTTTTGCAGAATTAGGCTTCCGGTAACCTCACTCATACGGCGATGTGCAACTGAAGCGTTGTCTCCCGCCGGTTTTCTTTCAGGCCGTATGTCACTCCATGACTCCAGTCGAGCCGGCCCATCGTGGCGCTCCCACGAGAAAATCTTATGCACATACACAGAAACAAAAATAAACGTAACAGAAACACTTACCTAATAAAAACGGGGAGAGTATAAATACAAATATCAACATTTCCAAAAGTAATAGAAAAATATAAAAATAATCGACTTAATTAAATATTTCCTTTGAAAAAATCACTAAGGACTGCCATCGGGCTGAGGTGAAGTCGGAATGAAGGTATAACCTATAAATTGAATGGTGAGAGAAATTACATTGTTCTGCTAAAAGAAATAAAACAAAAGGCGATCGTCATACGATTCAGGTTTCTGAATTTTTTTTTGTGAGTTTCGTAATGAATTCTCTCTTCCGATATTTTTGTGAAAATTCGACAATGAATGGGTGGAAATTCTTAATCTTGTGTGGTTCACAGCACAACCATAGCGCAGTGGTTCATTCTTCAATTATTCAACTTAACTTATTGTTTTGGTAACATGTTCCTAAACATGCATTAATTCAACGAGGGAAGTGGAAACTATCGATTTTTTCTTCTTTCTTCTCCTCTTATAATATAATATCTTCTGATTCACTTCGTTACGGGAATCAAGACAGTTACTCATGTCCCTGGGACGCGCCATACTTCAGTGTTCCGGTGTTTTCATGATTGTATCTACTGTAGATCCTGGCTTACAGGAGTTGCAGCGGTTTTTGGGAGGTGGTGGCGGGCTTGACCCATTTAAAAAATGTTTCTAAACATTTGTTTTCATGAACAAGGCAGGCTTCTTACAGCAGGAATAAGTAGGGAAAAGATATTAGTTTGCTCCTTTACATACTATTTTCGGGATCAAATGTCTCGATGGCAACGTGAAGTACTTAAGTACCTATCTTTCCCGCGATATCGGGTAAGTATGTAAGTTTGTATGTTTCAAATTACCGTCACACTCTTTTCTTGCTCTTCTCTTAAAAAAAAGCGTTGGCCCACACTAGGATTTTCTCCTGTATCGTGGGGGCGTTTACAAACATACAAGTTCACATACACATGACACCCAGACCAGGAACAAAAATCTGTGGATCACAGAGAATGAAAGAGTTGTTACGTGCGGGAATCGAACCCGCAACCCGTGCGGCAGCCAGTTGCCCAACCAACCAACCATGCAGTCGAATTACTAACTACCCCTATTAGAATTGCTACATCTCGGGATTGTACCTAACATCTCGCCTAAACTTTGAAGAATGCAGTTTTATCATCTTATACACGAATCCGGTGACCCGAGTCGTGTCATATCTACATCAGAACAAATAGATAATGCACCATGTCCCCTCCATCGTTATTCTAATCGCCAGGAAATTTAGACCTTGTCTAGACTTCTGATATCTTGAGCGGATGCTTCAACGGAAGATCTTGATTGATAGGTTAGGCACAGGATACTGCAATGCCCTGATTCTTGTGGGTACAGTTTGAAAATATCGTCGATGTAGTTTGTACTGATTCATGAATTGTTGGTACCTACTTATTCAATACTAGCTTTTACCCGCGGTTTCGCTCGCGTCACAAAAATATAAAAAGTAGCTTGTGACATATACCAATACATACAGCGCCATCTATACCAATACTTTTGTTTTCCCTCGGGAATATCAAATTTTTCCGGGATAAAAAGTACCCTATTATTTAATCCGGATTTCTAACTTTACGTCTGCAAAAATTCAAAGCAATCGGTTTAATAGTTACGGCGTGAAAGTGGAACAGACAAACAAACAAACTCACATTCTGATTTATAATATTAGTAAGGATTAATTCGTACAGCTCTGTAAAATTGCTAGGCCACTGAGTAGTAGTGACATTTAAGAGTAGGGCTCCGGTTCGAATTACGAATAGGAATGGGTGGTTTTAAGTTAATAAGAGTCTGACACTCCCTCTCACCTCACTCAAGGCGGGAGAAGCCATTGGATGATTCCCCCCCTCAATAATACATAGTAGTTGAATTATTATGTTTTAGGCTTATCCACGTAACTGTTTGACGAGAAATTCGACTGGCGTCTAGTAGCAGTACAACAATCGTCGCAACGTGTGTCGCGGAATAACATAACATAACCACACGCTTTTTAACCCCGAAGGGGTAGGCAGAGGTGCACATTATGCCACTGTATAATGTAACATCGCCTCGTTGGCCGAGTGGTCGCAAGTGTGACTGCCGGGCAAGCCGATTCCCGGGTCGGGCAAAGTATTAATGGGTTTTTAAAAAATTCTCAGTAGTAGCACGGAGTCTGGAATTGTGCCTGGCAATAGGCTCCCTATTACATGGGACTCATAAGATAAATAGTGAAAAGTGGGTGTTACATTGTAGGTACATGGCATAATGTGCACCCCTGCATTACTTAGGCAGATTAGGCCAATAACGTGAATTATCCAAAAAAAGTTATTTACATTCTAGAAGTCTAGACTATTCATTGACCATATTACAAATATTTTGAAGCAGTTAAATATTATTTTATGTTACGAGGCTGAAATAATAATTCTGGTCATAAACCACAATCTTTAACAAATACTAGAACTAAATTCTATGTCTATCTATGTAGGTCGTAAGTTAAATCTACATTTTAAAGAAATAGTCAAAATAAAATGAATGTTATGTTAATAATGACTGGAGTCTATTGATAAGATCTGTCTTTAACCTCAAATGGAAAAGTAAACCACGTTCGTTAAGCGGTTTCAGTGATTGTCTAGCAACGGGTCCTCATAGGCCCAGGTTCGATATAAGGATCGGATGAATTGTAGCATTATCTTATAAGACTCGTAACATCACATAGTTAAAACAAAGTCGCTATACGCCGTCTGTCTGTCCTTATACGTATGCTTAGATCTTTAAACCTACGAAACGGCTTTTGATGCAGTTTTTTTTAATAGATAGAATGATTCTAAAGGAAGGTTTATATGTATAATACATGCATATTGCACCCGTGCGAAGCTGGGGCGGGTCGCTTGTAACTGATAAATCTAAATGTACCTACTTCGTGTTCAGCAATAAAGATTTGTTGATGTGTACCTGCCTACCCCTCTGGGAGAAAGGCGTGACGTAACGGTAGGTACCTATATTACGTATCTTTACTTAGCACACGTTTTACCTTATAATTGATAGCGGTTTCTATCGCTCTGTGTCACTAAAGCCTTTAAGCCTAAAGTAATTAAGCTATAATTACAGGAGCGAGCTCTCCATAAAATAAAAGGTCCTAAGCTTCAGTACATTCAGTAAATTTAGCTAATTGTAAATCACAAGTAGGAAGGAATCTATTCAAACACCAGGATTGAATCTAGTGACAGTTTTGTTACCTATGATAACTGATAAATACAAGCTTACAATTACTTACTTAACTTATCTGAACAGGTAATTAAATTCCGATACTTATTAGTGGTTTACATCTTTACTAATATTATAAATTGGAAAGTGAGTTTGTTTGTTTGTTTGTTTGTTCCGCTTTCACGTCGTAACTACTAAACCGATTGCTTTGAATTTTTGCAGACGTAAAGTTAGAAGTCCGGATTAAATAAATAATAGGGTACTTTTTATCCCGGAAAAATTTGAATTTTATATTCCCGAGGGAAAACAAAAGTATTGGTATAGATGGCGCTGTGTGTATTGGTATATGTCACATAGGCTACTTTTTATCCTTTTGTGACGCGAGCGAAGCCGTGGGTAAATATTAAATAAAAATCATTCAAATTCTGCAATTCTGCACCACCTAAAGATCGGCTGTCAGGCAAGTCAAAGTCCACGCGTTTTTTTGTAAAATAAAAATCTGTTATAATTCTTCCTTTGTCCTGAATCATTTGATCTGTTTAAGATCTAATTGGTTATTTTATGGAGGCACTCGCGGTGGCCGGGCGTAGTCGGCCATTAGGTCACATCCTCGCGGACCAGACAATTGCCACTACTGATATGATCCGGTTATATAAATAGTACGCCATTATAAGGACAATGGACTAAGACTCCTCTTAAGACCTATTTCTTCGAGAAATTTTCTGGACTTTTTTTAGTGAGGTGGGAGGGCGAGTCAGAATCTTACTGACTAGGACTTGGAGTGTGGTTATTTGAGCTGTAAACAAACTAATCAACATAACTCTAAACAACATAAAATATATATTCAATTCAAAACAGTAGCTTCAGAGATTCAAACAAACAAGCAAACGAGCAAATTCTTTAGCTTTATACATGATAACAAAAGTATAAGGATTTTTTTTAAGGGGAATTCCATGGAATTGCTTCTCCCGACTACGTGAGCCGGGAGGGAGTGTCAGACGCTTACTGACTAAAAAAACACCCCGTTTCTACTCCTGAACTTTGGGCCCGAGCCCCGATAACCCGCGACATAGTAGTAGGATAAGACCATAGATATAATATTTCTGTAGATAGGACACACAAACACCTACCTACAAATAAATTACCATACGATATTCTAATTTCATTCCTAATTCTCCGACAGCAGCCGGTGCAAAACTGATTTAATATTTAAACACAATTTGTGTTTAGGCTTCTAATGCATATGAGATAGCTACGGAATGAAGGGGCAGGCTCTAATGCATTATTTAATATCTTCAGTTACCAAACTAACGCCACCATTTTAATTTTTAATTCCAATAGCTATTATAGTTTGATTCTATTTGTAGATCTAGGACTACTTAGGATAGATGAATTTACGTCTACGTGAACTTATGAAACTGTAACTAGTTGCGAGACGTAGGGATTGTAGCAGACCCGATAGTCCTTACTTAATATTATAAATCTGAAAGTGAGTTTGTTTGTTTGTTCCACCTTCACGCCGTAACTACTCAACCGATTGCTTTGAATTTTTGCAGACGTAAAGTTAGAAGTCCGGATTAAATAATAGGGTACTTTTTAACCCGGAAAAAATTGATATTCCCGAGGAAAAACGAAAGTATTGGTATAGATGGCGCTGTGTGTATTGGTATATGTCACATAGGCTACTTTTTATTCTTTTGTGACGCGAGCTAAGCCGCGGGTAAAAGCTAGTATTATATATGATAGTCCCTCCCATCCCAACCAGGCGGGAGAAGTCATTCGTTGACTTTTCCCCCTTAAAAAATCCCACTAGTATCACAAATTTGGAAGTTTGTATGTGTGTTTGTTTGTTTGTTACTCCTTCACATCAAAACGGCTGAAGGGATCGGGATGAAATTTGGAACAAGGGTAGATTATGGTCTGGAATAATAGAACCTACATATACATAGGTAACATTTTTTATCCCACGGGTACGCGGGCAAATACGCTGGAAAAAACTGGTAGAACCGAAAAGACACGTCTGAAGTCAGAGGTTTTGAGATTCTCGAAATTATTGGAATGAGGGATCATATAAAGAGGTCGGTAACTAATACAG